GTGGCTGGGGCGGTGTGAGCAGGACATGGCCCTGAGAGCCAGAAGGCAAGGACTGTCCCCTCTGCTCAGCACCTGCCAGACCCAACCTGTGTACTGCCTCCAGTTTGGGTCCTCAACCCAGGAATGACACTGACAAACTGGTGGGGAGTGAAGGGAGGCCACCGAGATGGTGAGGCTGGAGCCCTTGCCCTATGAGGAGAGGCTGCGGGATTGGGTTTGGTTTAGCAGGGAGAAGCGATGGCTTTGGAGGCACCCAACAGCAGCCCAGGGGATGGAGGAGGTGCACCCAGGCTCTTCACAGTAGCGTGTGGAGGGTGGGTTAGAGGCAGCTGGCACATGTTGAAACAGGGGCAATTCAAACTGACTATAAGGTAGAATTGTTTTCCTCACAAGGACTGCCCAGCAGTGGAGCTGGGGCCCAGGCAGGTTGTGATGTCTCCAGCTTTGGAGGTTATCCAGCCCCAGCTGGGTAAGGCCCACAGCAGCTGGCTGTGCTTTGGGGAGGGCTTGGAGTGGAGACCTCCTGCAGTCCCTTTCTAACTGAGTTATCCTGTAATCCTGTATATGACAAAAAACTGTGTATATCTGCATGTAGGAGTAGTCTTCGTTCCACATGGCACACAGCTTTATTGTGAGACAGCAGCGATAGTACACAGACCTATTGAGAGTGTGATCTTTTATTCCAAAAAGTCAGGATTAGACTGTGGAAAAACGATGCATAGTGCTTTTGTAAAGTAAACTCTTGAAAGAAATGTTTGGAACAATAAAAATAAACCAGCTTGGTTTCTGTCTGCATGCACAGAAAAGCAAATAATTGTATATCTGGTCTTGGGAAACAAATAACAAACCAGGTTGGAATCTGAACACTCACATTTTCACCTTTTCTTATTCCATGTCTTTTCCTGAGTAGCACTGGGCATGGATGTTGTGGTCTTGCTCCAAGATGATAGTATGTGCTTAGGTGCTGTTTTAAATACTTCTTTTAATATAAAGTAGCTGAGAAAAATCCTTAAACTTCAACTTTTCTTCTTTATGTCGTTTGAGAAATATGTGGAGATGTTTAATTTTTCTTCTTTACAGGCAGGGGGTAGTTTAACCTTCAGCAAAGAGCTAGTTGCAGTAGTAATCAGCCTCTGATTTCTCTATTTTGGAGACAGATTCATCCATCAAGTCCTGAGTGCAAAGCTAAGAGTGCTTACAGAGCACTTTGCCATATATGTTTGATTACTGGGGCACAGCTGCTGTTCTGGGTAATTAATGTGAGAGTATAATATCTTTCAGATGGGTGCTGTGTCTTTATTTCCAAGGTCAGATGACCTCTCTTGCTTATATTCTCTTCTGCCTGGCAGTTTATGTAGGTTATTGATTTTTGTTTGCTTGCTGGAAATAAAGTGCTTTTTGAAGGCCTGGTGAGAAAAATCAGGCAGACCTTGTATCCGCTTGGGGGAAATACTACTAAGAATAAAAAAATGGGGTTTTTAGTAGTCTTCCAGCTACCATGTATGAAAAGGGATTGGGGAAACCCCCAACCTTAATAGGTGGTTCTTTAAATTACTGTCCTAAAGAATGCTTGTTAAACAGTTAAATAAATGTACTTGACTTAGAAGCTTATTTTTTCATTGAAGTTTATTAGGGCTTAGGTGACCTAAGGGCATTTATTCAGATCTACAGTTTTATAAGTAAACTTATCTTCTTTTCTGACAATTAAAATTTCTCTCTTTTTTGAAAATTTCAGAATACATTTGAAAATAATTTATTGTTTGCAAAATTAAAAAGTGAAATTAAATTGAAATTATTGGAGGAAGGGCAAACAGAATAGGACCCTTTTCAGTAAAAAGCTTTCAATGTTAAAGTTTCTTCCTCATCCTCTCAAAAACCACAACCTTGAGGATTTCAGGATATCAATATTTGAAATTAACCTGAGATCATTCTTCAAATGAGGGCAATTTCACAAGCGGAACTTCGGAAATTTTCAGTTTGCAAAAGGAAAATGTTGAGGCTGTCAGGTGCTTTTTAGCAATATTTTGTATGGTTTGTAATCTCTGTATTTGTTTCTCACAGCTAGACATGTCAGCGATGGTGTTTGTCCATAGTGTGCTATTATGCTGTGAGCCTGTATTAAGACTTCTAAAGCAGGATCACGTATTTTCAGATATTATCAGAACTTTCATTGTCATAAGGCATAACATATGCCACAATGTTTGTTTCACTTGAGGTAAAGTTAAGTCTTCATGCAGTTGAATTTTGCCTTCTTTTCTAACTTAACATAGTTCAGTTAAAGGTGTAGCAGGATACATGGGATAAAGACTTCAGAAAATTGGTGCCCTTGTTTCAGCTGGGATAGAGTTAGTTTTCTTCTGAGTAGCTGTTGTGTTTTGCTTTTAGTATGAGAATAATGTTGATCACATATATTGTTTTAGTTGTTACTAGGTAATGCTTATATTAGGTCAAGGACTTTTTCAGCTTCTCATGGAAGCTGAGAGGGAGCATAGGCAGGACAAGCTGGCCCAAGGAATATTCCATACCGTAGGTGTCATGTTCAGTATATAAATGGGGGCTGGCCGGGGGACAGGAGTCTGCAATTGATGCTTGGAACGCGCTGGACAATGGATCTTCGAGTGGTGAACAGTTGCATTGCATTGCCAATATTATATATTCTTTTATCATTGTTGTTATTATTATCTTTTCTTCCATTACTGATATATTAAACTGTCTTTATCTCAACCCATGAGATTTCCTTTTTTCCTGATTCTCCTCCCCTGTTCCTCTGGGTGTGGGACAGAGTGAATGAACGGCTGCATGGTCCTGGTTGCCAGCTGGGGTTAAACTGTGACAGTTTGTCACCCTGTGTTTATGTGTAACTTCATGTCTTTCAGCGAGTACTTCCCTTTTTCTGTAAGTGACCAATGACACTTAGGTGCAAGTCAGGGGCTACTTCGAATGCAACAGATTTAAGGCAAAATTTTTAAACAGTCCTCCATTTTAGCTTAATTCTGTCTATGTGCAAAGCAGTGGAAATTTTATAACCGCCTTCAGTGAAAGCAGGAAATCCTGCTTGGGGTGGACTTTTCAAGGGGATGTTATTCCTTGGCATCTTCACCTTCCTTTTTGTGGTCTTAAAATGGAAAGCTCTCCAATATTGTTGTTCTTGTTTACTTAAATAATGTCATATTCTGTGGGGAGGAGAGCATTTGCTTTGTTAGTTCTGTCACAGACCTTCATACCCACCTGTATTCTGCCTGATTTCTCGGTAGCCTTAGCTGCAGAAGACCTTACCATGTCACTGAAGGCTTCTTATTAACAGACCTTCTTTAGCTGGAAAAAACAAACTGAATTTTTTCATAGTTATTTTGAAAAGGATTAGTTTGGGTAGAACATCTTTATCTGTTCAGTTAATGTGAATGAAAAGATCTGTCTGGAACAAGGGCCAAGATGTATTTTGTTTCCTTTTTTTTTTAAGGACTCGTAAGTTTTAAAGGCTAAAACATTAGGTGTAAAAAAGAAAAGGAGGAGTGTTGGCTGAGCTGGGAGCTGCACCCACTAGATTTCCCGTGGAAGTATAGTGCAAGTAATTCCCACCTAGCCTTGCCTGCCTGTCAACTTTTCTAATAGAGGCAACTGAAATTACCGTTGCTTTCTCATCACAGGAGGTTATTCCCACAGCTGCTTTGCACAGAGCTCATTTAGTCAGCAAAGTGTCACCTGAGCCTCCCTGCCTCAATTCAGTAGATGTGGTTCAAGTTCTATTTTACATTCACATTATTTTTTTTTTAAATGGTAATTGACACATGCTTTTATAGATCCTTGAAGTTAGAAGTCTTCCAACAGGTACCTTTTCTTTTAGTACTTACTGGTAAGTCAGAGGCTACAGCTATATTTTTTTTATGGATATGTGGTTTGAATTAGGGACCTAAAAGGACATAAAATGTCCTTTTTATGACACTACATTTTAAAAACAGGGCAAGGTTCAAAATAGCTGAAGCTGTTACATAAAAATGAAACCTTCTGAGCTAGATAGGTCTGTTTGCTCTATGAAACTTGTAGGAGCTAATCTGTATTCTTATGGGGTTTTGCTGTTTCGATGGCCTGGGTATTTATTATTATTGGCAGACCTCTCCAGTAATTATATCATATTTTGAGATTGTTACTCAAAGTCAGAAAGTCTAAGATGCCTCACTATTCTCAAAGTGGTCATGACTATGAACATTAGTAATGTCTTCTCCATGTTTTAAGAAATATGTTTTGTGCAGAAGCCATCTTAAGTGATTATAGATATTTTCCACAAAGGTAACTATGTTGTATCCAGGTGTCATGTCCTTCTCTAGGGAGAAGGAACAGGTGCTTCAGATATTCTGAGAGGGCATTTTTATTTCTAATGATTTTTTTGAAGTGCATAGGGTGACTAGCTCAGCTGAAGATACCATACTGAAGAAGTGTAGTATGCATAGCTGTCACGTATCTGACCAGTCGCAGACTCCTGTGACGAGACTAAATCTGTCATTTTACATTACAGCATCCTTCCTTTGCACCAAGTTAGTGAGCTGTAGGGAGAGCGATGGAGCAAAGGCGGAATATTTCTGTCATGTGTCTACCATGGTTGAGTCCCTGGCAAAAGTTAGCTTTTATAACATGTGCCTGCCAACTTCATCGAAATGCCACAGCAGTCCATAGAAGCATCTCCACGGAGTTGCTTGGAAATGATTCTTCCACAAAGAATTTCTCCATAGAAGTGAGAATTGCAGTCCTCAAGTGGGTCATTGGTGTTTGCTGCTGTTGGAGGTCATTTGCATGGGAGGTCGTATTGTTGTGCTGGTTGTTGTCTGACTTTGAAGCTGATGAAGTCACAGGTTTGTCTGCTGGGGAAGGAAGGGTGCCTTTTGTTGCTTCTGTTTATTAACGCCACTTTTTTTAAGAGTAACGTCAGAGGTTTTTTTTTTTATTTCTTTCCAGCTGTGATAGACAAAATGTCAATAGAATAAGTGACCTACCCATCAGAACTTGCCATGAACCATTTGGTTGGACCGCCTGAGGGGGAGGTAAGTGAAGAGCCAGCAACTGGAGCAGTGAACGAGTCAGTGGAGGCTGACTTGGAGCACCCAGAGGTGGAAGAGGAACAACGGTATGCAACTCGCTACCCAAGGCATACAAACAGCAGCCAAGGAGGGGGCCTGTCTGGGCAGGAGGAGGAAGGGATGCTAGCTCGGTCAGCCAGCACTGAGAGTGGTTTCCACAATCACACGGATACTGCAGAAGGGGATGTGATAGCCACAGTGGAGGACAGTTACGACACAGAGAGGGTTCAGGAGAATGAGGATGAGAGTGCATATGCGGTGCAGTACAGGCCTGAGTCTGAGGAGTACACGGAGAATGCTGAGGCTGAGCATGGCGAGGCCATTCGTAATCGAACATTGCCCAATCATTTACATTTCCATTCCATCGAACACGAGGAAGCCATGAATGCAGCCTACTCGGGTTATGTCTACACACATCGGCTGTTCCACCGAGGAGAGGATGAACAGTATGCTGAGCCTTACGCCGACTACGGACTGCAGGAGCATGTGTATGAGGAGATAGGAGATACACCAGACCTCGATGTTAGGGAGGGGATCCAACAGTATGAGCGGGAAAGGGAGGAAGCTGACAATTACCGCAAGGAGGCACTTGGTGCCCGCCTTCACCATTATGATGAACGGTCTGATGGAGAGTCGGACAGCCCTGAGAAGGAGGCAGAGTTTGCGCCCTACCCGAGAATGGATAGTTATGAACAAGAGGAGGACATTGATCAGATTGTAGCAGAGGTGAAGCAAAGCATGAGCTCCCAGAGCTTAGACAAGGCGGCTGAAGACATGCCAGAGGCAGAGCAGAGTTTGGAGCACGGACATGCTCTTGCTGGCAGTGGGCATGAAAGTAATGGCCAGCTCCCAGCTGGTTCTCGTGTTACATCCAGCTCGGGAGAATCTGTACAGAGGTACAGCAAGGAAAAGAGAGATGCAATTTCACTGGCCATCAAGGATATTAAAGAGGCCATTGAGGAAGTGAAGACAAGGACCATCCGTTCTCCTTACACCCCTGATGAACCTAAGGAGCCTATCTGGGTGATGAGGCAGGACATCAGTCCAACCAGGGAGTCTGACGACCAGAGGCCACTAGATGGAGATGTGAGTATACAAAGCTTTCAGCTCTCAGGTTATGTATGTCTCGTTCCTTTAATTGTGACATACATGGCAGTGAAGGAGGGTGCATATTGTTCTTGTTCTGTTACTCATCCTTGAGTAAACTATGTAGTGCTTTGTCTATTTTAAATTTGTACTCTAAGGGACACGTAAGATGTAAGCATCTGCTGACTCCAGTTACGTGATACAAGAATTTGTCACATGAAGCTCTTTATGTGTTTTTTTCTGAAACAAATGCTGTTACATTTTTCGCAGCCAAGAGATATTTTAGAATGACTACTGAACACTGCTGTCCGTTATCTATCCTTATGTGTTTCTGTTAATTCTAGGTTTCTAAGTTTCATTTTCTGTCACATCACAATTCTAGCAGTTCCATCAGATATCTGTTAATATTCTTCATGGTGGTATCATAGGTCACATTCATATTCCAGAGAATTTGCAGGTTTTTTGTCCACTTGCAGACTCTAGAAATGTGTTATGAACCTCACTATATTACATTATCACTGTACAGTGTATTCACTCTCCAGCAACCTGAGTGTTGAAGGCCATTGTTCAGATTTACAGCATCAGCATTTCTGAAATTCTGTACTTTTGGCATGAGTCTTAACTTGAATCAGAATCAGTTCACAGTCTGTGGTTCCAGCTGCCTGTGTTGTAATCTTTACCTGAAATTTTATGGGTTTTCTGCATTTCTAATAAAATAAACTCATAAACAACTGTTAATTGCATTAGATTTATGCCTGACATGAAAAGAGCTGGTAGGCTAAATTTGCTGGCTAAAAATAGTCTATCATATGGACCCATGCTATTACTTCAAAGATAACTGCACTGCAAACATCTGCTCCATCCTCTTTATTGCTGTGGAATGTTTTTTGTGACCTTTGGTTTTTTGGAAGAACACCGAAAGATAGAACATTTTGTGTATTGTTTGGTGTTCTACACCGAATTACTGTAACCTTCTAGGAATGCATCAGAACTATCCAAAATACCTCAGCCTCTGCAAAGGGAATTCAGACGGTGAGAAAAAGATCACATCCTGTGTAGATCTATGACAGGCTTCTGATTTTTTTATCTGCCTTCAAAACGATGAAGGCTAGTATTCTACAAGTGGGAAAGATTTTTGGAGCATGGTGTTCGAGTTGCTGAAAAAACATGCAAGCTGATTGAGACATGTTGCTTCCAGATTTTATTTTCCTTTGACAACTGTTGGAAACACACAGTGATGAGTATGTTTGGGTTGGTATTTTGTTTGTTCATAGTTTCATTGAAACTTTATTTTAGAAAAACCTGTATTGCAAAAATTACATCGACAAATATTTTTAAAATTATGTCTATTACAGAGTTGATTAGTAGTCATGTGAAGAGCTAAAGCAATCTTCCCAGATTATTCTATACAGGAAAATAGTTATTTTTAACTTCTTTAAAGATTTCCAAAAACTGCAATTATTTCTCTCCCCTTTTCAAAATAGATCACATTACTCTTTTGCTGTATGTTTTGTTCACTATATATATGGTATGTTTAATATGTATGTGTTTGTAAGTGCTGTCTTTGTCTGGGAGGATCAAAGAACCTCCTGGTGCTTCCTGATTGTCTGATTATAACACCCAGTACCATGATGGTCTCACTGACATTGGGTTGGGGGTCCTGAGAGCACTGAGTCCTTCCTGTTGGTGCTACAGCTGCTCTCTAAAATCTTGTTGCACCTTGCAGAATTAAACTTTTCTAAGGTACGCTGGTAGGATTCAGCCTGGTATGTTCATATAGTAAACAAAGCAGGTGTTTCTGTTGGTCTCTGTATGTACATTAGATATTGCAGTACATAGGGGTTTCCGTTTTGCACCAAAAGTTAATTTCTCAGTCGATATTTCATTGCCTGTCAGATAAGAACCTGACTGAGATTTTCAGTGCTGGCTGTAATCAAAATAGTGATGTATAATGACAGTATTGCTCAGCGAAAAGATAAATGGTTGCTGTAGATGTGCAGACAGTCTATGTTCTTGGAAAGAGGAAGTAAATTAAGCAAATAGTTTAGAAGATCTGTAGCAGATTGAGGGGAATACATGTTGTAGAAGAAGGGACTTGGGATGGGGTAGGGATTCTGTTTTTCAGTGAAGGTGAGGTATGTATTTCCTTTACTGGGTTCTTTAGTTCAGATGCCAACTCATGAACAGTCTGAACAACCTGAACTGTCTGCTTTCTTTAACAAAGCATTCCTGGAATTACTTAGCAGTCAATTCATAGAATCATAGAGTGGTTTAGGTTGGAAGGGACCTTAAAGATCATCGAGTTCCAACCCCCTTGCCATGGGCAGGGACACCTCCCGCCAGACCAGGTTGCCCAAGGCTACGTCCAGCCTGGCCTTGAACACCTCCAGGGATGGGGCCTCAACAACCTCTCTGGGCAACCTGTTCCAGTGCCTTACCACCCTCAACATGAAAAATTTCTTCCTAATGTTTAATCTAAACCTGTCCTCTCCCAGTTTAAAGCCATTCCCCCTCATCCTATCACTACATGTCCTAGTAAAACATCCTTCCCCAGCTCTCCTGTAGGCCTCCTTTAGGTACTGGAAGGCCCCAATAAGATCTCCCCGGAGCCTTCTCTTCTCCAGGCTGAACAGTCCCAACTCTCTCAGCCTCTCCTCATTGGAGAGGTGCTCCAGCCCTCGGATCATCCTCGTGGCCTTCCTCTGGACCCACTCCAACAGGTCCAAATTGGGCAAAATTAGATTGTCTTGACTAAGTGATCAAGAGTGATCAATTATAATAAAAACATAGTTAAAGCCCATTCATCTACATGTAGATTTTCCCTTTGCCTCCCTTGAGAAAGAAACAGGATCTCAGACAGGAGCTTTTCAGTGTAACCAGTATATGCCAGAGGTGTTATTCAGTCTGATTTGAAATCCAGGCCTTGAAATAAGAAAGAATTACGTAAACAAAGTGTTTTACTTTCAGGCAGACACCCTTTTCTATCCCCAGAAATATCAAGGAGCTGCAGATAAGTGGTGAAAATTGGGTGCTTTTTTTACCTTCAGTTATTTTACAGGTCTGCTTTGAACATTGTCCCTACATTGTTTTTTAGCGAAGCCGTTTTGCTTTTAGAGATAAAACTTACTTGAAAATATTTGTGATCATTTTGTGTTGTTAATCATATGATATTGAAATGGGTAAGACCTCTTTAGATCCAAATAGCAGTCACTTTTTATTTAGCTAAGAGCACTCCATGAGAGAGCGATGAGGCCAGGGGATGAGACGAATGATTTGCAGTTGAGAATCATTAAATACGACAACCTCTTTTGCCTTTTTTCACAAGAAAGTGACTGTCACTCCTCTGTGCTGAGCATTTGGATGATACGTTCACAGCAGAATGTTTGGTAGAATACCAGTTGGAAGTGTCCAGAGAAGCTACCAATTCAGAAGTGTTCAGCTGGCCTGCAGCTGGATATAGTTTGGGAAACGAAAGTTAGGACAGACATGCAATGACTGTGACTGTAAGAAAGCTACAGATCACTGTATCTGATTGTTTTTAAGACACCCTGTTTTCCAGGTTTACTCACGGTTTAATCTACCAGGAATTTCAGTCATTCCTATGTATTTCTCCTCAAAAGAAACGTTTGGTAGTACACAAGAAAAAAACAATTGCTCACAACCTATGCACAATTCTACTGTAATAAACTCTGGTGGTCCTGTGATGTAGGAGACAGGTAGCAGACTTCTGTGAATAAATAAATGGTGTACCAAAGTACCTGATTAATATTTAACAATGGAGAATATTTGCTGTCATGTGCCTTGTGCACCCTGGTTTAGTGATGCATGCTTTCACTTGAATAAGAGACATTCTGGACATCTGGTTTGTGAGGAAGGTGTTGTACTTGTGTATTTGATAAAAGCTGAAAAATGATCTCAATTTCCTTTGAACAAATACAGTAAGATTATTTTTTTTAAGTTGGCCACACATGTGAGGTATGAACAATTGACATATATTTCCAAAATCTGTTTATCAGAAAACTTTTTAAACCTAAGCAGACCATCACTTGGATATAGCCTCTTGATGGTATCTTTTTCAAATACAGCAGCAGTTAGAGCTGCACAACTGCAATAATGTGACATCAGGAAACTGACCCATGATGGAAATGGCTGTGGAACTGCAGTTAGGTTGTGTTTTCTGTGTGAAACGAGAGAGAATCTGTTCACATCATACTGAATAATATTCATAGCTGGAGATCAGCATAGAGTTTACGGTAGGCACATGTCTGAGAGGGGTGGAAGGGCATAGCCTTTAGGAAAAGGTGTTCTTCTAGACACACATGGTTATCTCACTGGAAGGGAAGGCCCATATATCCCATTTAGGTTGCTCTTGCCCATCATTCTTCTTTGTCAGATGCTCCACCAGAAACCTGCTGTGAAAGTGCCTGGCCAAACACAGAAGTAGTGGTGTTTAAAGATAGAAGACATATGTAGTGCATGGATCTGGACTTAGTGATGAACACATGTTCAAGTAGAAAAGGGAATAGTTTTGTGTAGTAAATATCCCAGAATACAATTAAATATTCTGGTGTATAAACTGTATGGACAGTCTAAAAAGGCATTTTTAAAATGTCATAGAGCTTTGAGAATAGTGGCTTGCTTAACTGTGGAAGAACAGAGACCTGCTGAGAAAAGCACTGAAAGGCACAAAAGCTCAAGTAGGGTTTTTTTTTGGCTGGGATTTAAAGAGCATTTTTGTCCTCTCATGTCCAGAGAAGAGAAGCAGGCTGACTGCTTCACTTCTGCCATAAGCAGGAGAAAACAGTGGTTTGGAGGGAGAAATTGTCCATTTCAGAACTAAATACTATGACCTTTTTCTGAGGTCCGTTCAATTATCCATGGGGTTATAGATCTGAAAGCCAAGTTTTGCTGACCTGCAGGGCATGGTTCATTGCTGTGGGTTTGCAAATCCCTCTCATCAGTGTTCGTGGTCTCTGTTCCTCTGCAGACATTTGAGGTGG